ATGCCTATCTGGTCTAGCCGGATTCGCCTCGACCAGCCTGGAGAGCAAGCAGAGAGTGAAATTGATCAGACTTTGGCATCTTCTCGACGGTCCGAACTGGTAGCCACCAGTCTCGAAAGAATCGAAAAATCTATTTTTACCGGTCTTATGTTGCCCTCACGCGTTGGCGCAAGTGCGCTGGCGAGAGCCCGAAGCGCGGAATTGCTTGTGGCTTCTGGACATGCTAGTTGCTGGCTCAGTGTTGGTTATGGGAGGACGCCGCAGCAACTTGTGTTAGCCACACCAAAGCGCCTGATAACCTTCGATTCACGTTGCTCAGGCCGCCCCGGAAACGAGTTATTCAGTCTAAATGTTCCTTCTCTCCCTGGCTTCGGCGATGGGCGACTCTTCAGTGATAATGAGATGATCTATGCCGCCCCGACTTGGCTGGCTGACACATATGCTCTTCTGGGAACCAGCTCTAACCTTCTGCTACTCGATGCTCGGATGCCGGGACGCGCATGTCTGCACTGGACCAATCCCTTGCTTTGTCCACCGTCCTATCTTTCCACTGTTCGTCTTGCTTCTGGGCCAGCTGAATATTTGCTTGGTGTAGCTTCTCAACACCCCGGACGCCTGGCCGTAGTCGGACTGAATCTGACCAGCAACGGAGCTGTCACTCACTCGCTGGATGAGTTTGGCTCCAAAGAGATCCTAAGCTCAAGACTTCCTGCACCCCAGTTAGTTGGTCAATCTTTCTGTCCACCTAGTCTCAATGCTTGCTTGAGCCAGGGTGCCGGAGGAAGTGGGGGGTTACCTTTTGCACTGTGGCACAATCAAAACCAGACACCGGAACGCCGACTTATGGCCAGTCTGGCTGGTTGCGTACTTTTGCCGGGAAGAAGAGCGAAGTTTGCTGGGCCGATTGCCTCGGCCGTCGTATTAACCAGTCAGGCCGACTTGTTCAATCATGAGTGGTTTAGTCGGGCCGACGCTGCAAAGTCTAACCGCCAGGTTGCTAGAGCTCGTGTTAATCGTTGGATAGACCGTTTATTTATCGCAAGTTCCGTAAAGTCAGCCCCTCCAGACTCTGTTTCTGACTACACTTACAATAAAAAGCGCGATAAGGCTGGTCTTGGTCTAGCGGAGCACGATATGACGTCTCTTTATGATTCTCACCTGAGTCACCATGTTGCTAACAGCAAGGACAAAATGCTGGAAAAGTTGATTGGCAATAGTGATTGCTCTCACCAATCTGGGAAATACCCAACCGGATTTACTTCTCTTTCATCTGCTTCCCTTGCTGATCGCTCTACACGAATAAAATCGGTCGCCAATTCTGCCCTAGTACAAGATCTTGTCGCAACTTGGAACACAATTTTGACCAGAACTCCCTTTTTCACTCATCCTCCTATAAACCAACTGCCTACGAAATTATCCGATAATCGTCTCAACTATGAGCGAGAATCACATCTTCTTTTGGACCACCTTGCAAGTAAGGCATTTGAAACCAAAAATGAAGCTATAAAATGCGCAGAAAACCCCTCAAATGTTATGGACGATACTAGTTCAGCGAGTAGTGTTGACAATATTCATACACTGACAAGTTCCAAATCAACTCCTGTATTTTGTGAGAAGCCTGCTAGCAAATCTTCAGGGAATATGGCTTACTCACACGAAATTCACACCCAAATTTACAGTAAGATTAATGAAAAATCACTCTTAACAGCTAATGCTGAGCATGAACCGGATTCTGAAGGCTTTTTATTATCAACAAATTATTCATCTGAAAAGCAAAGACTTCGGCACACTCCAATTAAAACCTCAAATTTGTTGAATCCGTCATATGAGGATTTTGTTACACCTGGATGTTTTACGATAAACGGATCTCATGCTACATCTGACAGAAAAAGCAGAAATTCAAATAACACCAAGTCCTTTTCTTCCCCAACTAATTCACTTGCTAATGAATCCCTTTCCCAACTAGATATTCTTGGTTTGTATAATGACTCTTCCAAGCAAGCTTCTGCAACTCTTCAAATCTCTTCTGTTAGGCATATATCACCGTCTCCCAAATCGTCTAAAAAACACAAAAAACGTGTCTCCCCGAATCACTTTGAGGTATCAACTAAGACGTTTTTATCGGTGAGGAACTGTCCACAGGCATCCCCTAGTGAGGAGAATAATGCACCTAAACGAATTAAGTTGACATCCACTTCCACTTGTATTAATGAAACCTCTAGCTCAACCATAAATAAAGGCTGTATCTTTCCCGATCATATCTCTCCATCCCCAAAGCCGTGTAGAAAACGAAGATCCAAACGCAAATAAAATTTAAGCTTGCCATTTCGGTGCCTTTTGCCGAGCAAGGAATTGGTCCATTCATCTAAGATACTTGTATCTATGTCATAAACTTGTCTCTGCTAGAGCGCACTCCATATTTCTTCCTCGCTTCTTATTATCGCCATCTTTCAGGGATTCATCGGACTTATTTTATTCTATGGCTTTTGTCTGGATTATTTATGAGCACCGAACCCTTAGTCAAAGGAAGCACTCAATTTTTAAAAAAATAAGTAACCATGTATTTCCCCTTATCTCAATTCGTCATGTCCACTGGGTTCGTAAATCCTGTGGTCAAGCCCTTACTTCTCGGACTGTCTCCATGATCAAACTCATACACTGTGAACCAACTGGAAAATTACACTTTTGGACATTCATGTATCTCTCGAGTTGAGTTTTTGTCGAATTGATCTCGATTTTCCATCCATAATCGCAAATATTTATGATGATTCCCTTGTGTGCCAACATCCCAAATGTTGAAGCTATTTCCTTTGTTTGACTAGACTCACTGCGAACATCTTATGGATTCAGAGCGTCTCTCGAGAACATCTTTCTGGTGATTACTCTTCGTTAGTTCAAAATACCTACTTGATCCAGTCGTTTCGTCTGCTGATTTCTGATTTACTCCTGATTTATAAGTGATTTGGCCTAATTTCTTCGTATTGAAGGAAATAGCTACAATATTTGAAATGTTGGCACACAAAGGAATAATCATAGATATCTGCCATTATGGATGAAATATCGAGATCACTTCGACAAGAACTCAACTTGAGAGATGTATTAGTGTCCAAAAGTGTAATTTCCCAATTGGTTCATAGTGTATGGTTTGATCATAGAGGCAGTCCGAGAAGTAAGGGCTTGACCACAGCATTTACAAATCCAGTTGACATGACGAATTGGGAGTAGGGGAAATATATGGTTAAGCTAGACTATCGTGAAGCTAGAGGATTGAGGATTTAGAGACCAGCTCGGGGAGGCTATGGTATACGTGCTTTCATATGCTTGAGGCAGATCATTGGAAATAAGGCCTCGCATAACACTGCTAAGCTAGCAGAGGCCGAGTGAAACCAGTGGGCCATTGACCTAAGAAGCGATTCGTCAAGGCTTCGAGGGAGATTAATGCGACTTGAGTAGAGTACTTTGCAGCTTCAAATGGCCAATTCGGAGCAGCAATTCCGGCACGGGAAGGGGTGGTGAAACAAGTAAGAGACGTATTTACGTCTCAATAAAGCCGCTCAATATGGCATACCTCTCAAGTAGCCCAGAACAGACAAGTTAAAAGATGTGATAGAGGGAATGAGCTACGATGATATAGGGTAGGTTAGGGTGCCGTTCAGCAGCAAGTGCGTTGAATGAATTTCACATTTTTCTTGAAGCAGTAATAGTTTGGTGCCAAGAATGGCAAAGTTCAGTGAAGAGTGGAATACACCAAGTCCATGATTTGACGCTGTAGGAGTGTCATGACTACTAGTTTAGGGGACTCAGTATAAGCTGTCCTCGAGTTCGTCTTGACAGTACAGTCAAGTTGTGGAAACGAGGTCGTAACATTTCTAAGCATTGAAAGGATGCTGCAATCAAAATAGAGGCCAAATCATCCTGGTCGGCATATTTTTGAGTATGTAGGGGAGACTTAATTACTATGATTCTACTTTTCAGGGTGTAGTATGACATAAAAACAGCTAAGCGAATATGAGGTCTAAGGTGTGGATTGATTTCTAGATATGTTCAAATCTGGCTTTCGACTTATTAAGTCCGGGGAAAAAATGTTGTAAAATTAGGGTCTGAGATACATTGTTAAGAATTTCGTTTTATCTGATCATGCTTAAAAAGTTGGTCGAAACTAAAGATGACCGGTTTAAGCATAGATTTAGGAGCATTCTTCCTCATGTTATGCACCCGCATAACATAAAGATTTTAAAATAAAATTAGTTAAAAAGAAACTACAGGATCTCCAGCTCAAGGATGGCAACAGGCTGCATTCATACCGACATATAAAAACGATAATTTATATTCTTATCACATCACTGTTTCCTTGTAATTGATGCTTTATTCTACAATATTGACATGTGTTTTAGGATTTCGGTTGCATGTCCGATGTATGTATGCAATACACAAGATAGAGTTGAAATGCTATAACCCAAACTAGATGCCAGGCTATTTAATGCTCCTCTTACGCTGTGGCTCGTCCTGCTCGCTCTCCCTCCTAATCCTATTAAATAGCCAGATACATTTATTTGGTAACCTCTTCTACATGGGGCGACAAGTCCTTGCCCCCCACCGCATAAGCGCAAAGCCATTTATCAACCTGATCTGTAGGGTGGCTCTAAGATCCTTTAAAGGAAGATATGACCAAAGAAAGTAGCAGCCCTCCATTCTACACGGTCCTGACATTCCATTTTCTCAGTAATTTGCCCATCTTTTCGAAAACTGGCCGAACGGTAACATCAGGGACCTAGATAAAGAAATGTCATATTTTTTTAATAAATGAGTAGGTTTTCGAGTCGGGTCCCGACCGGACCCGAGTGAAATCGGTCAACCAAAAC